GTCCATATATATTTTTTCAGCAATACATTTTTATTGCTTTAATGCTCTATAAAAAATGAATTGACAGTATTTGTAGACCAATATCACAATTCATTCTATTTATCAACTAGTCTAACACTGTTTTGAATATATTCATTTTTATTCTTTCAAATTTTATGTAGCATTATGGTAAATTTTATGGTAGCCACTATAGATCTCCTGTTGTCTTGCTTTGAAATCTGTTACTTACATTGTTTTGCTTCTGATCTGCTTTGTTCTGTTTTGTTAGTTTAGTTTTACCCTTTTTAAATATGAAAAATAAATTTTATGTAGTGAGGTTTGAACTCAGGGCCTTGGTATTGTGCTACATTCCCAAAGCTTATTTTATTTTGAGATAGTGTCTTTCTAATTTGCTCAGGCTAGCCTCAAACTTGAGATCCTTCTGCCTCAGTTTCCCTGAGTGCTGGTATTACAGGCATGTGGTACCATGTTTGGCTGAATATCATAACTTTTCAGCGTCTTTAAAACTGGGCAGTGTATTTTTTCTAAAGCTTGTTTTGGCTGTTCTAGATCCTCTTATTTTTATATATATTTTAGAATTATTTTAGATATATGTAATATATTTTAGAATTATTATCTATGTATTCAATAAGCAAAAAATCACTGACTTTTTTAAAAATAGTAACTGGGTTGGATCTATAAAATCAATGACAGCCTAATGATATTTTCTTATTGATGAATGTATTTGTCCTTTAAATCTTTTAAAATTTCCTTCAGTTGTTTTAGTTTTTCAATGCAGTGATGTTATACATTCTTAAGTTTATTCCTGGATTTCTGATATTTTTGTAGATACCAATAGAGTTTCTTACAATTTGCTTCCTAAGTGTTTGATCCTAATACTTTTTTTGTATATTGACCCTGTATTCTATGACTTGCTAAATTAACTTGGTTCAGTAGTTTTGTATATCCTATAGGTGTTTGTATGTATGTTCCTGTGGTTTTTCTTCCAAATTTGTTGGTATTTTTGTACCATAAAATTTGGTATAACGTGCAAATCAGTGACTTTAGTATATTCTGAGTCTCACCCAACCATCATCACTACATAGTTCAATGTTTTAATCACACCAAATATAAACCCACTGTTTAGCAGTGACTATCTATTGCCCCAATGCACAGCCCCTATCACTAATCAACTTTCTTTCATGGATTTGCCAGTTTTGGACACTCCATATAAATTGAACCATACATAGCTTTCACTTAGTATATAATGTGTTTAATTTTCATTAATGATGTTGCATGGTTCCTTTTAATGTTGAGTAGTATTCTATTGTATGGCTACTCCACATACTTAATGCATTTATTAGTTTGTATTTGTACTGCTTTTACTTTTTGGTTGTCATCAATACTGCAGCTATGAACATCTGTGATGTTTGAGTCAATGTATTTCCAGTTCATCTGGGTACTTATGTAGGAGTGGAGTTTTAGGGTCATATGGCAACCCTATGTATAACCAGTCTCTCCAGAACTGCCAAACTATTCCCAAAGCAATTGCATTCCTTTACATTCCTAACACTAGGTTATGAGGATTCTAATCTCTCCAAACCTAACCCTCGTTTGCTGTCTTTTGATTATAAATAGCACAGTAAAGTGGTTTCTGACTTTGATTTGCATTTCTCCAATGATGAATCATGTTGGGCATCTTTCCACATTACGTCATCTGTGTATCTTCGGTAGAGACACATCTATTCACATCTTTTGTCAAGTCTTTAGCTTGTTGTTGAATTAGGATTCTTCATGTATTATGAGCATTATATTCTTACATGATTCCTAAAATAGTTTCTCTTGCCCAGGGCAGAGGTCCTATTGCTTTCTTGATAAGTGTTCTTTGCAGCACAAATCGTTTTAATTTTGATGAAGTGCAATTTATTCCCCTTTGGTTGTTAGCACTTTTTAGTGTTACCTAAGTAACCAACACTTAATTTAAGGTCATGAAGATCTATGTTTATAATTTTTCTAAGAGTTTTATAATTTTTGGCTCTTACAGTGGATTTTTTTTTGACAGTACTGGGAATTGAAATCAGAGTTAACATGGAGTCTTTTTAATTTGCAATAGTCTCACTAAATTGCCCAGACTGGCCTTGATCTCCTGCTTCAGCTTTCTAAGTAGCTGGGATTACATGTGTGCACTACCACACTCAGCTCCTTTAAATTATGGGTGTTGAGTACTATGTCTCATTACAGGAAGTTTACAGGACTTTGGTCTGGAATTTTTTTATAAAACAGTAAAAGTTGGCTATCAAAATCATGCTGTTTTATTACCTGAAATAGCTGTAGGGTTAGTACACTGTCTTATATGTGTGATAAAATTTACCATTGCAGTCCTCTGAGTCTGGGTTTACTTTTTTTTTTTTCCTTACAAATTCCAGTTCTTAGAGACTGGGTTAGATTTTTTTCCTGTGTGTTTCTATTTTGGTAGTGCTGGGTATCAAACCTAGGGCCTTGTAATGCTAGTCAAGTGTTCTATCACTGAACTACGCCCATAGCCCCCATGTTAGTTTTGGTAATTGTATTTTTTAGTTGTGTATTTTGCTTAAATTGTTCAATTTACTGGAATAAAACTGTTTACAGTATCCCTTTAATATTTATAATTCCATTAGAATGAATTTTCATTAAAGTACAAATTTCTGCACACAAAATCAGGTGATAATCAAGAAAAAATAAATGTGCATCACACAGAATAAAAAGGATGTATTTATGTGTGTATTAGTATACAGCAGGGGAACATAATCCAGTGGTAGAAAGGGGAAATTATGTAACAGTATGACAAATACTATTTGAGGTGCATAGAGAACACATTAGAAGGTATCAGTCCAGAATCAAGATGGTTAACTAGTGAGTTAGCTAGCTTATCTAGATAAAATACAATCAAATTTATAGCAAAGGGAAAGGCCAAGGCTCAGAGCTCCGTCACCTGCCTGTGAAAGCCTGCAGTCAATTGGCTTTCCTTTCCCTGGCACAGTTTTATTTAAAAATAAGATACAACTTTTCATAAGGAAAAAACACAAACAAAAACCCAACCCCCCAAAAATACAAGTAACTTGCATTTTGACATTTTTCCAGATCTTTTGGAATACTTATACACACATACAAATACATGCATACTAATTTGTAGGCTGCTTTTTCTTAGGGAAAACCCAGCCTGTGTTCCCTGGATGCATTTTTATGTAAATGAAATTTAAAACATTGTTTTTAGTGGGTTGAACATTTCATTGTATGCAGGCACCATAATTTTCCTGTGTTCTAGTGATGTAATTTCTAGAGGTATTTATGTATTATATAAAAAAAGTCATCTCAAACAATTATCTTTGTAACTCTTTTTCCTTAATGCCTAAGAAATGACATTTGTGGGCAAAAACTAATGCATATTTCAAATTTTGGTACACAAGGTTGTACCAATTTCATCTTCGCACCGCACTGTAAGAATTGTATTCCCACACCCATACCAATACTGATAGAAAAGATCACTTTGAAAGTTATCTTTTATTAGTTGGATGTTTTACTTTGCTTAAGAATGTCTCTTATATCACTTGCCTATTTTTATTATTCAGGATATTTAAATTTTTTTTGGATATTTAAATTTTTAACTGATTTTGCAAGAACTCTTTGTATCCTAAGAATATTTTTTTTTTTGCAAATGATGCAGTTTTCAACTTTGTATGCAAGTTACAATTCTTTTGTGGTTAAATTTTACCATTTTCTTCTCTTTTAGTTCCTAGTTCTTGTTTCATACTTGGAAAAGGCCTAGGTAACCTCAGGAGTACAATCACTTGATTTTTCTCCCATCTGTATATTAGTTTCACCCTGCAAGTCCTCTAGCATTTATTCTGGTATGAGAAATAAGATGTAAAGCTTTTTCATTGAGTAGTCATTTTTCCAATGATCTTCTCACTGAACACAGATTTACAATGTACAGCTTGCTGATTACTACCAGGCCTTCTGGAGTTGTCTGGCTTCAACGTTTAATAAGTAATGGCTCTGGGAAACTGATATAGAAATAATTGAACTTATTTTAGAGAGCTAGGAAAGGGCAGATCTGAAAAAGTGCTCCAGTACCCAATACATAAGTGCTTATCAGATGTGGGTTCTTGTTATTAATACTAAGTATGCAAGCAACAATTTCTGGTTTATTATGTAGCTCTCACATCTTATTCATAAAATTCATCCAGTAACACTGGTTATCCTTTCTGATGGTCTTTTCTTTCAACAAAGGATCACATTTCATTTGCTCTTCTAAAGGACCTGAATATAGTACGAGGGCAGGTAAAAAGAAGGTTGACTTAAACATAGTGAAAATCAAAATCCCAACACAAAATAAGGCACTGAACAAATGCGGAAGGAGAGAAGGTGGCTGTTTCTCTTACCACCTATTCTGAAAAGATGAATCCTTCGCAATTTCATTTCTTCGTTACAAACAATACTGTCAGAGCTGGTGGCCTTCTACCTCTATGGCCTGAAGACAGTAGTTACCATGCTCCCCTAGGCCCTGAGATTTGAAGCGGGAGGGACAAACTCCTGGATCCTGGGCCTGACTGCGGGCTCCCTCCTGACCAGGTGAACCAACTACCCCTTAGAGGATTGATGCCCCCGGGCTGGCGTGAGTAGTAGAAGAGTCCGGGAGCTGGAAAACATGCCTGCGCAGACACTAGCACCGCCGCACTGGAATCCTTCGAGGAGAAGCAGCGCGGGACGCGCCGCAGATGGAAGCGGATGCCGCGTCGCGCGGAGACACCTTCTTGTGGAGGCGCGTCGCTTCGGCTCTTTGAGGTGAGGACTTCCAGGGACTCGGGGGTCTTCCCGCGATTCCCTGGAGCCTCCGGGAGGCCGCCGGCGCTCACGGCTGCCGCCTTAGCCAGCAGCCTGCCCGCGGCAGTTTGCTCGCATCCCGCCTCCAACGGCTCCACCGGCGGCGCGTGCGCGGCCCTGTGACGTCACGCGGGGGCGGGACTTCCTGCCTCGCGCACCGCCCAGCTTGAGACCGGCGCGCTCCGGGCGCGGGAGGTGACAGACAGGCCGCGGGCAGCGGGGGCCCCGGCCGCAAGTGTGCGCGGGGGCTAGGCACTTCACCCGCAGAGGTCGGCTCGCCGAGGTGGCGAGGAGCGGGCTTTCTTCTGTTGCCCTGCCGCGGCGCTCTCCCTGGAAACCTGAGTTTATCTTACTGTCGCGAGCGCGAGGGTCCCGCGCGGCCCTCCTAGCCCTCGGCCGCCGGGACCACGCCGGGCGTGGCAGGCTGGGCTGCACCCTGGCTGGGGGAGCGTGTCCCGCAGCCCCAATGCCTCCGCGAGCACAGTGGAGTGGCTGCGGCTGGTTGGAATCGCGGAAGTGTCCCCCGGTGGCGAGTGCGCCCAGGACACCGGTCTCTGCTAAGTTGTGTGCGCGCGCGTTGCAGGGACCATGTGTGAGTCTGGTACGTAGCCTGTCCTTCTGGGGACGCTGTCTCCTGCGGCTCTGGGCACTCATAGCTCCCAGACCCCCGTAACCTGACCTTGACTCCCCTCCAGGTCTGGTCTTTTTCCTCTTCAAGTCGTCAGAGCCTGTGTTTTGGAGCCAGGGGCGAGCACGTGGAAGTCCGAATGGAGGTTTTTGATTCGCTTGAGTGTTGGGTAGCCAGTTGAGGAATTGGCTGGATGGATGGCATCCCCAGTTTAATTTGTGATGAACACGCTGTGCTATCCTTTTCCATAGCTTCGAAGACAAGTTTTGTAGTGATGTTTGGTGATATTATTGTGATAACATCTGAACTATCTTAGTGTATTTTGGGATTGAGTGGATACTTCGATAAATTCTCATTGTCCAGCTTTTGACCAGAATAATACATTTTGCTCTTAAAAATGTTTATTGACAAGTAGTACTTTAAAAGCTTTTTATTACTTACAATGATGGAGTCATTTCAAATGTCAGAGATAAGGAGATCTAGGGTTATGAGAAACTTGTGATTTTTTTACTATATGGATTCCTAGTGTTTGGATTGAGTACAAAGTACTGGAATAGGTTTAGAACTGAGTAGGTTGTTAAAGGAGTGCTTCTGTTTCCAAGCAACAGCACTGTAAACAATTCCAATATTCAAGTAGAATACACTGTAAAGTATTTATCCTACAATTATCAGGGTTCAGAATTCTGTAAATTAATGAGGTTACCTGTTGGTTACAGTTAGTCACCTTTTGTATTAAAGTTATGTTTCAAACACATTTTGTTTAGAATTGTCAGTGTATTGTATTTCATTGTTACACTCAAGAGTTTTATATGGGTTTGAGTTGCCAATTTTGGCTATTTAGGACTGAGGATGTTGAGCATTTCTCTGAGAATTTTCTTTTTCTAACCAAAGTACACGGACTATCTTTGGGAATAGTTTGAAGTAACAGCAGCATAAAGCTATTTAGATGATATGCAGCCTTTGAGAACTTGAAACATTGCTTATTTACAAGCTGTTTTTAAAATTTTTTATTTTTCATCAGTACATTTGCAGTACATAATGTTTATATTTCTTGTGTTCACATACATAGCACATCTTAATTCCTTTTTTTCCATCCTCTGTGCCCCTCCTCTCTCCCTCTAGCTGGTAACTTCAGTCTTTCTCCACTCATTGAATCCATAATGGTGTAATTTGTATGGCAAATTGTTAAGGTTTCAGAGCACTGTTTAAATTATCTTTTGAATGCAATAACCTTTCAGGTAAGTATGTATGTGGGAAAAGTTGAGACAGTGATAGAAACGAAGCTATTAGTATTGGGGATTGGGACATCAAGTCTGTATCATACCTACTACAGTGATGGTGAACTTTTTAGAGACCCCGTGTACAGACTTTAATCCAAGACCCACGTATGTACTGCGAAGTGCCAACACTGCAATTAAATTGAATTCTGATTGTTTAGTTTATAAAAAGCAACTCGTACATTAATATCTTTTGTCTTAAAAGAAAAATACAGTAATATGTGTGCCATAGGTTTGCCACTACTGCCCCATCATATTTCCAAAATCAATATTTAGTTCTAACACTCTTAACCCTTTCATTTGCTGATGTTGAATTAATGAAATATTCAGAAATTGGGTGAGACTGAGAATTGGAAGGAAATCTAGACTGACTTGTGTGATAAATCCTTAATAATTAGAAATCAGTATTCTGTCCCGGAAGCTTGAGAAGTTTAAAGTGAAAAACTAGTGAATTGTCAGATTTGTTTTCCTTCTGGGTAGTATCTCTACCTAAAGTGAGTGAATTTGACTTGAGTTTTGTCATACATAATGTATTAGCCTCAGTAAATAATTTTTTTACATTATTTAACTGTGTGGTACTTTTGCGGGGAGAGAGAGAGAGTGTGTGTGTTTAGGAAATGTCCTCCTAACTGAGGCTCTCAGCTTTTGATGAAATCTTCAAAATCCCCTCATCTTGCGTTTCCAGCGTCATCTTCTTAATGGAAAACATGTCTTTCTCCAGACTGTCGCCCCCACTGTCTCTAAGACCGCCATGTGCCTTTTCCTGTATTAGTCATGATGTTGTTTTACCTCTTTTACAGTTTCTCCTCTTCTTTCTTAAAATGTAAATTCCTACAAATTCAGCTCCACCTTGACCTCTGAAATTCTGTAGTACATATTTGTCATACTTGATATACTGTGTTATTTTATCTTTTTTGTCTTCTTAACTATAAGTTCCTTTAAGAGCAGGGCAACCTGTCGCTATGAGCTTTGGTGTTTTTTTTTCCAAACAGAAGTTGCTGAATAAATGTTTCATAAAGACAATGAATGTGCATTTCTACTTTTTTTCAGCCCTTCTGTGACATAGTGGAAGTAAGAACATTATTGAGAGGGGAAGTAACTGTTGAAGGAAGGGCAATAGTAAACCATAAGAAGGGGGAATTGATTAAAGAGGGGGTTCATTTGCATCAGGAGAGGTTCAGTTCCTAGAAAGTGAATATTGGAGAAATTCCTCTGATAATACCAGCAGTAAAGACTCCCTGAGGAATGCTGGCACTGTTCCCATGTGGCCTTGGGGAGTCCGATCAATTTCCTGGTTCTTCCTTAGTAGACTCTTAGTTTAAAAAAAAAAAGAATCCCTTTCTCTTTCTCTCTTCCTTCTCTTACACCCTCCTTACATTCTCATCTCCTTAGTTTACTCCTTCCCACCCTACTCTTTAACCAAGTAGAGACTTAATTTATGAAATTATGTCGCTATATTCATTTTGCCCTCATAAATGAAGAATTATGGAAGTTTATCTTTTAAATTAGGATTGTTCGCTAGATCATGCAGAAACCACTGGCTGTCAAGTTTTGTACTGTTTGAGTTGTAATCCAGGATGAAAGAAATTAAGAACAAAACACCTAGTAACTTGCTTTCTGTATATTGTGACTACAGATTATTTTTGGATTAAATTTCAGAGTTAGGAAGAACCTAAACCTGTCCATTCCCTGATGGAGAGCACTTGTCATTCTCAAAGTATGTCTTTAATATTTTCAGGTAATTTTTATAATCTTATCACGAATCTTGTATTTAAGCCTTAAAACAAAGAGTTACTTTAATTGAACAACAATGAAACTGAGCCTCAGTACCTTGTATAACTCTAGGTTAGATTCAGTTGTTTCTTGAGTGAGCTTGCCAGCCTCGTTTCAGAATTGTTGCCCAGGAACACTACTGCGGTATAACATAGCAACCTGTTAAAACAGTAGCGTGGCCTACGGGGATTTTGCTGGTGAAGCTGCAGTGCCTTTCTCTCGTGCTCACATTTAACCTGTCTCTCTGACTTGAATCACATTTTGGTTTAAGGCAGATATTTCAGGGGTTGTTAAAGAGCATAACATAGGCTCTTAAGTTTATTTTTTGGAGTAGTGACAAAACTTGCACATTGTTTTTCACGTAAAGTTGCATGATAACTATTTGTTGAATTGTGTATATGAAAGACATACAAAAAGTACAGAAAATTGAGTAAGTAATAAGATCAATATTGTATAATCAGTGAAGTCAGTGAGAACTGGAGTGATTGGAGCTGACGTGGGTTTTTTGTTGTATTACTTCTTCACGCTTAAATCAGTAAACATAGTTTAATAGGTACTGTGATTTTGTGGGAAGAGAATTGTGACTCAGGAGACCAAGGCTTGACTGGCTGAGTCACCTAATCTTTCTTAGCCTGTTTTCTTATTTGAAAAATAAATCTGAAGGCTTCTCGTATGCTTCCATTTTTTTGGTACAGGGGATCGAACTCACGACCTCACGCTTGCCAGGCAGGCGCTTACGCCACTGAACTAAATCCTCATGATTCCAATTTTAAGCAACTTCTGGTTTTCCTGTTCATAGGTTTAGTCATTTTTTGAGCACTTGTTACGTATCTTGCACTGTGTGAGGCACCGGGGATATTAAGAGTAAGATATTAAGCACCTTATTGTCTGATGGGAGAAATGGATAAAGTACTAGTCTGTAATATAACATGATAGATACTTTAGGTAAATAGAATGCATTCTTGGCATGCAAGGAAGGACACCTGACTAGAACTGCAAATGGAATACACTATGAGGAGTATTCAGTAGTATTACTGAGTATAATTTGAGAGTGTACAGAGAAGTATTCACCCTGGAGGGAGGGAGTCAGAAAGTTAGAGAGAAAAAGTTTCTTGAGTTGGCACAACAGAATCAGGAGTCACCAGCAGTGCCGGTAGTTGAGATCCTGGATGTTGATGACAGTCCTAGAGAGAGTGTGTAGAATCAGAAAATAAAGTGTATCATCAGCATGTAATGGATAGATGGAGAAAGAGAGTGGGGAGGGAGTAGATTAAGAAGCTGAGGAAAGTGTGCCTGTCACATTTAGTTTGTTGGTTAAAATTGGCGCTCAAGGAAACATGGATTATGTAACATCTGTGTGACGCATCCATAGAAGGATGCCTTCCTTCTACAAAGGTCTGAACTTGCAAAGGAAAAGTCTTTGTTTAGCTGCAAAACAAAGGAAAGCATTGGAATCAGATTTCTGAGTCAAAATTTAGGCTCTTGGGTATATCACTTTGCTAGCTACTTGCCTTTTTAGCCCAGTTAAGTTTCTAGTCCTTGTCTTTATGTGTAAAATGATACTTTTTTTCACAAGAATCATAGAGTTGCAGAAGGAAAGTTGTAATGTTTGCCTCAATCATTGGATGATTTTCATCCATTCTATTTTGCAGACTCTTCTGAACTACAAACACCTATTGTCTTGCCCTTTTTTTATGCTTAATCATATTCTTTTAATTCCTTTATCATTAAGAATCCATTAAAGCTGGGTGTGGTGGCTCACGCCTGTAATCCCAGCACTTGGGAGGCTGAGGCAGGAGGATCGGTGCGAGTTCAAGACCAGCCTAGGCTACAAAGTGAGCTCAAGGCCAGCCTGAACTGCACAGTGAACTTACAACCTTGCACTTGCCAGGCAGACACACCACTGAGCTAAATCCTCAGCCC